GGGAAAGAGAGAAGCAGCAGGTGGCTGCAATAAGAGCTAGTGACCTGACCTTCTGCAGCTGGTGCAAACTGGGGGCACATCTCGGGTGGTATCAATCTCAGCTGCTCTGCCATGGGAGGCACCAGCTCTGCAACCAGCTGTGACACTAAATACCTGGGCTGGGCCAGGAGACATGGCTAAAGGCTCCAGCTGCACCTCATCAGGCCAAAGCACAAGGACAAAGGACTCCTGGGCCCCTTCCCAGCTGAGCACAGAGCTCCTGACACCACCAAAGCACCAAGACTTGGCTAAAAGCCAACACGTACCACCAAAAACATTCACATCTAAAACCAGCAGCTCCATCAAGGGCAAAAATCACACCAGACATACAACGCAGAACTAAGAGTACCTGGGTTTATTTTAAACACAGAAAACTCCCAATGAAATCAGGAAATAAAGTCCAAGAGTCTCTCTTGCCACCACGAGTCCCAGTGGTCAGGTCTGTCCCTTGGCACCAGTCCCTGGGGGGGTGTCCCCGCTTCCTCCCTCGGCGGGCTGACCTTCAGGCCTGGGATCTGCTGAGTTTTCCAGAAGCAGTTCCAAGGCTTCCTCACCAGCCACACGTCTCACCTTCTCACCTTTGGCTGCCAGGATTTCCTCGATATTCCTGAACAGCGATTTGAAAACCAACAGTGACACCACAGCAAAGGCCAGAGCCAAGAGCCAAGCCCAGGCTCCCTCCCTCGTGCCCTCACGATTAACAAGACACAGGGAATCACCCATCAAATGCCTTCATGAAGAGTTCAGGAAGCAGTTAAATCCACCCAAACCTTCCAACACTGTTTTCACTCACTAAGATCAATACTTTAGCAATTACAGCTAAACAGAATTTTTTACAGGTATCTCAGGGAGTGAGAAATCCCTAGAATTCAGCAGCAGATGGAGCAAGACATTTGAAAGGCTCAGGCAGGGAAACCCAGCAGGGAAGTGGCAAAGCCTGGGGGAGAAGAGCAGAACCTGTCAGGTCTGAGTCCCCTGCAGGCACCAGAGATGCCCGCGTGTCCCCAGCTCCTGCTGCAGCTTCACACCCTCCCTCTGCATCCCGGGCAGCAAGGGGTAAAGCTTTAAGAAACGGGGTGAAACCAAATTATACCCCGGGAAAAACGGGGATTTTCTCTGAGCCCCATTTTCAGAAGCCCCCACAAGCCCAGGCAGCAGCAGGAGGGCCCTGCCCACACACTCACCTCTTCCCCTGCAGGTCCGAGAACCAGCCCAGGTTATCGGCCATGACGTGGTGGTTCCCGCAGCCCGGGCAGGTCACGATCACCACCCCCTCGTGATAGGCCACCCTGGAGATGGTCTTTGCCGAGCGGGTCTGGCAAACCTGCAAACAGGGGCATCAGGGGTATTAGGGCCGGGGTATCACAGCATCCCAGGGGTTGGGAGTGTTATGTGTAAAGTTTGTTCACCTAGCCATTGTATTGTGTACTGTGTATCTAGCTAGACATGAGCTTTTGTGCTGGGCAACTAGAACAATATGTGTTAAGTTGATAACACATTCCAGGAGACAGAAGTTGTTTATTCAACCGGATGTGCTAACGAACTTTTGTTTCAGGAACAGGCCTAAGAACTGCCTGCTTCTGAACTTTGATATGTAAAACTTGAGATTACACAGGCGCAGAGTGCACCACGAAAGACTATTAAAGAAGACACATGAAAGAGGAAAAGTGTCCAGAGGAGGAGAGATTACTCCCTGGCACCCAGCGCTGTTACCTTGCTATTTTTGCTTGCTGTAATTAATAAATTTCTGTTTCATAACTCCGATTGGCTTGGAGTCTTAAATTCCCTAATACAGGAGGGACCTGGAAAGCTCCCCCAGCCCAACCCCCTGCCAGGGCAGGGGCACCCAGAGCACATCCCACAGGGACGTGTCCCC